TGTGTGTCTGGGCACCTGTTACAGCTCCAAAACTTCCTTTTCAGCACGTATTGAAGCTCCTGGTCGAGTTTCCGGCGTCCCATTCGACTCCCGGTGGTCGTACATGGCGTCCAGGTGGTGCGGCGGCGAGCTCCGGCCAGCTTTTCCTCAGCCCGGCAACATCAACTTCTTCTTCTTGGTGAAATGATGGCGGTTCGAGGACGGTGAGGTAGTCAGGACTTTAGAAACGTGGCTCTCCGGTGGCTGGACAGTGGCGCGGGGGCGAGGTGGTAGAGCAGCGAAGCTTCGAGCCCTTTCATGGCGGACATGGCGTGCTGTGAACGTGAGGAAGAAGAAGACAAGCCTTTTCAATTCCAACACTTGCTGCAAAATGACAATACTGCCCTCAGCTTAATGAACATGTGGGCTGAGCATTTGGGTTGGGCATTTGGGCCTTATTGGTCTTCTAAGTGGGCTATTTTGATTATCCTTGCAGGCTATGTGTTGGGCTCGTCCAAATGCATGGCTCGCACCCGTTATATATCCACTCCACACCGCTTTCGACTCCAAAAATTATTTCGGACCTATTTCCTGTCAAAACTCAAAATAATACACTTCATCATAGCTTAATAAAAATAATTAACTAATTAATTAATTAATTAAAATTAATTAAATAATAATTAATTATATATCAAACTACGACGAAACGGACACGTAAATCACTATAAAATGCACGTAAATTCGACGCATGTCACAACACCATACAACTAACATTGCAACATGATAAGACTAACCTAGCAGAGATATGTAACTAACCTAGCACCAACATAAAGCTAACATAGCAACACCATACAACTAACATTGCAACATGATAAGACTAACCTAGCAGAGATATATAACTAACCTAGCACCAACATAAAACTAACATAGCAACACCATACAACTGACATTGCAACATGATAAAACTAACCTAGCAAATATATATAACTAACCTAGCACCAACATAAAACTAACATAGCACAATCATACAACTAACCTAGCACCATCAGACAAGTAACCTAGCATGCTAGGTTATTTATATTTAATTTCAAGTTTAGTTGGCAACGGTCAACGCCGAAAGTCAACGGTCAATGTCGGAAGTCAACGGTCAACGCCTGAAGTCAACGTTTTTCACCGGAAGTCAATGCCGGAGTCAACGGTCAACGCCGGAAGTCAATGGTCAACACCGGAGTCAACGGGTCAAAATAATATTTAAATAATTAAAATAATAATAAAAAAAAAGAGTAAATCATTGCCACACATATCATGTACCAATCTTGTGACTAAGAATGAGTCTCACGTCCGCATTTTAAAAAACTATCCGCATTTGAACCATCCCTATATATATATATATCATGATTCTCTAGATAGATTAATTAATTTATAGACAATCTTATGATCAAAACTAAATCAAGTTGCTCAAGTAGTATTCGATAGGAAAACAATTGGAATGACTTTTAGTATTAGAAAATTTTATAAAATTATTCTAATCTTATTTAAATAAATACATTTAGTAGATTAGAAGTTTGAGTTGCAAAAGAATTATTCAACAATTTATCTCTAATAGTGTTACACAATTTTTCTTTCTCATAGGTTATATTTTTACATTAAATCCCTTTAGTCCCATTATCATATTATTTCTGAAACTTTCGTGGAAAACAACCTAAAATGACTTGATGAAAAACACAG